CCCCAAAACCCCAAAACCCCAAAACCCCAAAACCCCTTATTACTATTGAGAGGTTGAAACATATTTAACCTGTATGACTTGACTGAATAACTTTGGCCTCATCTTCTTCATCAAATGTCCTTGACATTCCGGAGAGGAGACTTTCGACTCTTTGCTTGGTCTTTTCTTTCTCTTTCATTGTGTTCTTGTTGAATCCCAAAAATGGAATAACTATGATTTCATTGTAAAGTATTATTCCGGCAACAAGGATCAGAAATCCTACTAGCTGCAAAGGCTTGAAAGACTCGTGTCCATCTCCCTGATAGGCTAGGAAGAAAATCCATACTATGACGATCTTTGTTTGCTTAAGAGTAGTCCTGCTTGTAGCACTCATATGCTTGGTGATAGTGATACCAAATCCATTATAAGCAATCATGCAGAGCACTCCTACTATTTGTAGAATCAACGCAGTTTTAACATTTATCAGATGTCTTAAGGCAAGATGAGTATCTTCGATCACCCCATTGCTACAGAAATCAAGATCGCATGGGATGAATTGGAAAGCTGGAAGGAGTATAGCGAAGAGTAAAACACCCCAAATTCCTTCCCATCCAACAACTTTGAGAGGCGAAATATAATAATCTCCGAGGAATTTTTCTTCTATGACAAATTGACTTCCTTGGATCAGGATTGAACCGAACATTAAAATGATGCCGACTATAGGTTTGTCCTCGTCTGAATCACTACCAGAAATCATCACAGCAAGACCAACAAGAGCTATTCCAAGAACAACAAAGAAGAGACCTGTCCAATGGTGACGGTGGAGTCTTTTTCTTAAGAACAGTACAGATTGGAAAGCAGTCACAAGTACGATTCATCCCTGAATCATTTGAGCAGCACTGACTTGGATGTAAAGGTAAGCAAATAATTGTAGAGTTGAACCAACAGCATCACAGAGCATTGGAAAAATGAACTTCAGTGGATTAATTTTAGTTGACTTTCCTCTTCTTTTCGCCTCAATTACGTCTGGAGATAATTCATAGTTTCCATACTTCTTTTTCGCATCCCAGAGTTCATACAAATAAGCGAATATGCAGAGAGACTCAGCCACGAACATTGCAAATGATTGGAAGTATGGGTGATGGAATGGTTTATCATTAAATTCAGTCTTATCCACTATTTTGGTGGCAACTCCGTTTCCAGCTCCACCAAGAATCATAGCAACCATGTAGATATACAGCACAAAAATATGAGGTCTTCCGGCCATTTAAATATTATAAATAGTAATATTATTGCCATCGTTATAATGACGGGGTTTTGGGGTTTTGGGGTTTTGGGGTTTTGGGG